TGATTGTGATATTGAACGAATGGTGGTGATGATGATGACGATGGCAATAAAAGTAGTTCCTGTTTAATTCCTACTGAACAATCAAAGTTATTTATTTGAGCATCTAAATCAAACTTGCTCTTAGTGATTATCATGGAATTGACAGAAGGAGTGAATGTACATTCTACGACTATAGTTTCAATCTTCGAGCAGCTGTTATGTACACCTGCGAGTGAATGCATGGTTCGATTGGTCAGTTGTCTAATAAATATAGTTTATGAACTTGAAGAGAATATTACAAATCTAGGATAGAATAATATACATACACATATATATATATGACGAAGATAATAGAGAAACAATCCACGCGTGATTATTTCATATTATAACACGAAAAGTACAAAACACAATAACTGCTCTCTACTACTACGACGACTACAATTACATGAATGAGATGATAATGACGAATGATTTAAATTATTACAACAAATAAAATCGAGGAAGCACGTAATAAAAAATGAAACGAATAAAAGAGTAATGTTTATTTTAATATTGTGCAATACTCTGTTGTACTAGAAAATGAAGCGTCTGTAATGTGTTTAGAAGCCTAGAAATAGAAGATAAAGTTTCAAGTTGAGTTTTTGATATTTTAAAAAGTGACAAAGGTATTGATGCTTACGCATTTTTTTCATGTTGTGATGCAGCTGATATCTGTGAATTAGCAAGCTCCATAGCATTTTCAATAGATATTTTAATATTTATCATAATATCTTGTGCTATCTGTTCTGCTATGAGTGATGTTTTCGGTATCGGAACATGTTGGTTTTGTGTCGAAGATGTTGTACTCGTTTGCTCATGTTCATGTTGAATGTTTTTAGACCATTTTGTGCCAGCACGTGATGTCACTGATCGAAATTCTCCAAATTCTATATATTGACCTATTTATAAAAAAAACCAAAACATGAAATTTCATTTCTATTTCGATAAATGGTTAGAAAGAACTTTTAAAAACCTTTTTTCAAGAATGAATTCCAGGCACGGTCATCATTTGTCACTTGATAATTACATTGCATTCCTAGAATAAGAATATTTTCAATAGAAATATTAATAAAATACCTATATGATTCAAGTCCATTCGCACCTGCTATTCTCTTCAGAAAATAAGTTTTCTTATTGATCTTCTCTCGAAGAATGATTTGAATGTATATCAGTGGTGACGAAGTACAATTTCTTTGTGAATCATTGAAAGATGAAACACAGACATATTGTATAAGAAATTTGAATTCACGGTGGATATGTTTCTTAATATCATCTTCTATTTGAGAGATAAAAATATTCAGACATTCTCAGAGTTACCTTTAAAAATTTCTCTTACTTGTCATATTCGATCGACAAACAATAGCTAAAGCTTTTCTGTTCAATCGAAATCTCTTATTCGGTTCTTCATGTTCTGATGGAATAATTAAATTGAATTTCTTTTGTCGTGCTATCTCGAATAGATCTAAATGAATCATAAGATAATTTCATAAAAAAACGATTCTTGATTATCAAAGACTTGTGTAGATTAAATATGTATTTACCTTCAGATTCAGCTTTAATATTTGATTGATCATGATATTTATCAAATGATGATGGTGGTGGCAATGGAAGTGGTTCCTGTTTAATTTCCATTGAATAATCAAAATTATTTATTTGAATATCTAAATCACAGTTTGTCGTTAGTTATTATCATGAAATTCATCCTTCGACTATAGTTCTAATCTTCGAGTAGCTGTTATTGTTACCTGCGGATGAATGCATGGTTCGATTGATCAGTTGTTCAATAAATATAGTCTGTGAAGTTCACGAAAATATTAGAAATCTAGAATAGAATGGTATATATATATATGACGAAGATAAACTATTTACGCACGCATATTTCATATAATGACACGCAAAATACAAAAAAAACAATAACTACTATCCACTGCTGATACTACTACTACTACTACTACTACGACGACGACTACATGAATGAGATGATAGTGATGGATGAGCTAAGTTATTACACCAAATAAATTCATGAGGTGGACCGTAACGTTGATAAGGATCACCACCAAGTGGACAAATCATATTTAATTTAGTTTCACCATGTAGAATAAACAATGTTTCAATAATATATCGTAATAGAATCGAACGATCATCTGGTAAAATGGCAATGATTGCTATTCGATATAAATCCAATGGAAAATAAGGCAGATGATGGATTGTAGAAGATACAAATTGTTGAAAAAA